TTCTTATTCTTTGCCTACTGGTTTTGAAGCCTTTAGGTTACACTTGGGTTATGTTTTCAAGCTTCTCTCCCTAATCATGAGGGCTAGAACGTTTTTTAAAGCTGAGTATCCGAGGGGTAGCCGTGTTAGTCTGGATCTGTAAAAGCAGCAAAGAGTCCTGTGGCACCTTATAGCCTAACAGACATAATGGAGCATGAGCTTTCATGGGTGAATACCCACTTCATCGGATGCATCCAACGAAGTGGGTATTCACCCACAAAAGCTCATGCTCCAATACATCTGTTAGTCTATAAGGTGCCACAGGACTTTTAAAGCTGAGGCTCTCATGTAGTCAATTGACTGTAGGATCAGGAGCTCCCAAGAAAAACACTCATGCATGTTGGCAACACTGCTTTTCATCTTGTTTCAACCTCTTTCAAATCCCATAGGTCCAGCCTGTTTCTGTTGTGGTGGCACTTAAAGACCCCAAACAGGATTAAATCCCCATTGTACAAACCAAACAAATAACACTGACAGTCCCTGCCTAAAATCTAGATTGTGATTTTTCTGAGACAATAGGCAAGGGTCAGGGGAGGGCAGGTAGGAATAGTAAAGGTGTGTTTACATAAGTGAGTAAGAAGTGGTTACTGGCCTGGCGTGCAGAATGTAAAAATCTTAATTAAAATTTAAATAATGCTTTATCCTGTACTATCTTAAAAGTGAACTTCTGGCCCATTCTCTGTCACTCCTTTTCCTAAAACATCCCTGCTGCTCCAATGGATTTCCTTAATCCATTTTTAGTGTTATAATTGTGGCAGGGCTTTTCTTGTTTGCATTGGTGAGGGGACAAATATTTTTTCCTTCCACTTCTTAGAGTTCAAGTTTTTTACATGACATGTCCATTCTAAATCACAAAAATCAAATAATTTGTTTTTTTAAACAATAAAGTTATTGTACTTATTTTCTTATCTGCTTGTGTATTGTTCTAGTGTGTCTTACTGGATTTTGCCAAATATAGAAAATAATTTGACAGTTTAAATAGAAAGGTACTTTTCATACTGTTTTGTATTCTTGAATATTCTCTCCTGCTCAAGGAAGCATGATGCACCTCCTCCCTAAGTACCAAGTGGTGAAAAAGAATTAACTGAAATAAAATTAATTCCCAGCTCTCAGATGTTAAAAACTGATTGTAAACATCAGTACTGCACTGTAAAAATAAATATATTATGCAACTACTGCGTTCTTCCATTGCAGTATATTATTACATCACAGATGATTTTGGTGGAAGTGCTGTATGTTGCAAATCATCAAATTAGTGGCTAGTACTCTGCATTATTCAAATATTTATGATTGAGGAAGTAGATTTGGGAAGCTAATTAAAACTTGGCTTCATTATTCATGAAGTACTACTGAATATTTGAATAGTCTACTCATTAAACTAGCTCTACAACACTGATTATCAGGTTAGCAAGTCACTATAAACGTCACATGTTTAATTGAGCAAATTTATTTTCCTAAGTGACTTTTAAAGGGCACAGTTTGTTGCCTCTACAGAAAACAATACATCATTAGGAATAATTACCTGTCATGTATAACGACTGGGAGATGCAAATAGATTAATTAGCTGTCAATCAGTGCTGGACTGCAGCTGGTGTTTCTGAAAAACCAGCAGCAAAAAATTCTAGAGCTTATTAAAATAAAGACAGATTTTTTTTTTTTAATAGTGTGTTCAGACTTGCTAGGTTTTATTGCAGTCTTTGGTGCAATATGAACTTTTTACAAGAGCTCATCCTAAATTTATTTAATATTTGGAATTATGGACTATTTGGTTAATTCATTTTGTGTTGAATGAAGATCCAATAATATTATCATTTTAATAAAACTGTTTAGATGCCAGATTTTGTTAGCCAGGCTTTTTTGTCTCAATTTTTGAGACCCCATTTGAGTGAGCAGGCTAGTAACCCGAGCTCTTTCCTTTTCAGCAGATGTAACCAATTCCTGATCAATACTAGAGTAGTAATTATTACATTACACACTTGATCTCAGTATATACCTTGGGGTCATCTGTCTTTATTAGCAGCTATCAAATACTACTGATCACAATTCGGCATAGTTTTTGTTTTAGAATTAATCAGAATAAAATAAGCATAGCCTGAGTGTTAAGTTTTTTGTTCAACTTCCCTCAGTTGGTAACTGGTACATTGCAGATCAATAAAAAGGTAGTGAGAAACTAGGGCTAAACTCAGCCGAAGTTCATTCCAAGCTGATGTGGTATGATCCTTTTTGCTGACGCACCTGGTTGGGAATTTATTTGGAGTTTGCAGCCACTGAAATGATAGACGCTGAGTGCAAGAGAATCACAGTATTCATTGTGTTGGTAGAAAGTGCTAATGAAGTGTTCAGCATTCTTTGCCATCAAATTCATGGTTGAACATTTGTTGCTTCTAAAAGAAGCCATAGTCATTCTGTCTGAATTACGGTGCCAAGTGGTTGATAGCAATTAAGAGTAATTCGTGAATGGATTAAATGGGTTTGAGGAAAGGTGATATTCAATCATTTTATGTTAAACGGGGAAGCTTTTAAGATTAAGTAAATTGGTCATTTTTTTCAATTCTCTTAAAACAAAACAAAAAAAGTGATGTGGGAGACTGCATATAATTCCTTTGTGACTTTGTGTAATTTTTTCAGTAACATATCCGTGATTTGTAATGGTGCAACTGGCAAAGCAATTTGTATGAGGACTTCTAATTTTACATTTGTGTTTAGCTCTAGAAGTCTAAAGCCTTTGTATGAATATACCATGTAGCTAATAGAAGAGAACCAAAGTCAATGCCCAAAACAATAAAGGAACACCTATTTATCCTTTTGTTTTTATTAATATAAAATCCTCCACCTGGAGCTTGATTGTATGTTGAAGTTGCACCTAAAGGTTTCAGTCCGGTCTGGACCCCTTGTGCTAGGCACTGTACAAACATAATAAATAACAGTCTCTACCCAAAAGAGCTTACAAACTAAAAGACAAGATGTAAACAGTGGATGGGGCAAACAAATGGGGTGAAGGATAGGATGAGTGGATGAAGGTGGAGTAACCAAAAATAAGTCATTTTAATAATAGCCAAAGACTAGATTTTCATATGTTTATACAACTGCTAGCATATCAGAAACCCCACTCAGGATTATTGGGATGTATTGGTCTATGGTAATATAAATATTAAGTAATAATTTAGCTCATCTTGAAGATGTAGGATGATCTTGTGATTAAAATATAGGACTGAGCATTAGGAAACCTCAAGTTCTATTTCTGGCTCTGCTGTAGGCTTCCTCTTTAGTTTTCTGGGCAAGTTTCAGGCTGTCAGTGTTTGTATTCCCTTATGACAGGAGTATTGAATCTTAAATCATTATTCATACACTGCTTTGAGATTCCCAGATGGAAGGAGCTATAGAAATGCAAAGGATTAATATTTTTTTATTACCATCATATTTTAAATATTTTAAAGACGACTCTGTTTTATGCAACAGATGAAGTCAACTGAATTAAAAATAGACTGTCAGTCTAATTAACGTGGTTGGTTCACTTGTGGAACATCAGCCAGTCTCACCCATGCCATCAACACTGACTAATTTTCAGTTTAATCCTTTTTTTAAAAAATCTAGTGAAGAAGAGGAGGAACTGGCACAGACATGACTACACAGAGTTTGATGATGGTTCCAAACCAGTCCAAGCTGGAACACGGACTTTTGTTAAACAACTGCGGGCTCGCTCGTTCCCAAGGTATGGAAACTTGCTTAGAAGTCAAATCATAAAAAGGGGGGAAACCTTGGGTATCGATCATGTCTAAAAAGTCTTCCTAACTTGCCTCCACAAAAACACCACCATCACAAAAAAAAACCCTTCTTACATGTCTGAGATCTAATTTTTTTCATCCAGCGTTTCATATCCATACATTTGCCTTCAAGGCACCTTGTTGTAGCATCCATCAATCAAATTACTACACATGGATGTAATTTCTTATGAAGTCTATCACTACCAACCCATATTGTTAGGTGTGTTGCCTCTTCAGCATTTTCAGCCTGTCTGGTCCAGGAAACAAGAGACTCAGAAATCACTTCCCATTTTCTCTCTCTAATGTAGACCACAAACATCGGAACAGTGGTTTATCTAGTCCCAGATGGTTCAGAAGAAGGTGAAGGAGATCCCTTGGTGCACAGTTATGTAATAACCTGGTCATAAAAGAAATTTCTTCCTTATTCCAGCAGTTAAGAGTTGGCTTACTCTCTAAAGCAAGATGACTTGTATCCCTTTTAAAAGAAAATGCTTTTTATTCTAATATATCAATATGTTGTCCTTATCCATATAAGTGACTTTTTTGAATCCTCCTAAACTCTTGGCTTCAATGACATTTTATAGCAGAGTTCTTCAGATTAATTATACCTTATAAACGTGTACTTCCTTGATTTGGTTTTAAATTCGTTGTCTTTTAGTTTCATTATATGTAAGTAGCAGGCTTCCCTTTACCTTGAGTGCTTAATTTAATACAATTGTATCCACTTATTTTAATTTGATTTATATTAGCTATGTAACTCTAATAAGATGTTTCCTTGAAACCTAACAAAGCTTTTGTTAATTTCTCTTTCAAACAGAAGAACAGGAGGACTTGTGGCACCTTAGAGACTAACAAATTTATTAGAGCATAAGCTTTCGTGGACTACAGCCCACAGGTTTACTGTTTCTTTTTTCCAGTGCTAATATTTTGTTTCCTCCTCCCCCCTCGCAGTGCTGATGAAATCATTTTGAAAATGCATGGCAGCCAGCTGACACAAAGATACCTGGAGAAACATGGGTTTGATGTCCCTATTATGGTTCCTAAATTAGAAGGTCTTGGGCTCAGACTCCCTCCCCCTACTTTCTCCGTTTTGGATGTGGAACGCTATGTAGGTAAGGGACTTCCTGGAATATGTGTGAATGCTTCAGTGTAGAGTGAATTAAATACAATAAATATTTGCATGGTTACAACAATTAAAGGATACTATATGCCTAATCTAAATTGAACAGTTCTTACCAGAAGGTTGGCAAGGATAAATTAGACCTACCAATTTGGGTTTTGTGTATGGGTATGCATGTGACAATTGTATGCCCATAGCTCTCAACATTCACGCCTGGCAACTTGTGGCACAAGCTATCAAAATGTGTGATGACTAAAATGTTGAACAGCTGTATTTTGTTCTGCAACACACCATAAGCAACAGGTTGTAATGGTTTTTGAGGATGTTTTCTTACACTGTGAATCAGATAAGCTAGTTTTGCAATCTGTACTCTAATGATGGGGATGGGGGGCTTTGTTACAGATTTTAAAAAAGGTTTCTCGCACAGTGAGAACATCTTTCAAAGGGTTTTACATTTACCAATCATCGGTTGCTGATGGTGCATTGCACAACAAAGCTTTTGCATATGTGAGGGTGTCCCTAGGGTGTCTGGGGTATTGGGGAGAAGGTCCTTGCCTGGGCTTCTTATGTGGCTGCGGGGGTGGGGGTGAATTTAGGGAAAGAGGGATGCTACCTTCCCAGCTGCTCCAAAATACCATCTCCCCACCTACACTGTTAATACATGGAGTTTATAGCTGCTGCTTGAGTCCAGGGACTCCCAGCTGCTGCATCTCTGGAACCCCCTGCTCCTCTCTGCTCCTTCCTCTCCAAGGAGCAAAGCAGCCTGAGAGGGAAGGAGAGGAGCAGACAGTAGGTTTCAGATAGGTGAGGAGGGAGGGAGGTAGCTGCAGGGCAGAAATATTCACAGTTGGCGGATGAGGGAACAGGAGGAGACTGAAAGCTCAGGGTCAGATCAGTTTCCTCCCTCCTCACCTCTCTTATATCTGTAAACTGTTGGCTCCTCAGTCTATCTGATCCTTCCCTTTATAAGCTTTTTTTCTGCTCCTTGGAGGAGTGGGGGAGAAGTTCAGGGAGCACCATAGCTTCAGCAGGAGCATTTAGTCTTCTGTCAGGCTTGCTGGGCAGTCTCTAACCACCTCAGGACCACCTGAATATGTATTTCAGTGAGACTGAGCCAGCTGCAGTGTGGAATGTGCTGCATAATATACTACAGCTAAGAGTTTTCTGTGTGCCTTGCATCATCTCTTGTGTTCTTTTGG